GTGCTTTCTCTGCCTGTCGGATCAAGCAGGTTTTCGCCCCAGCATTCGGCTCCCTCGTCTTTAATGATAAACTAGAACCATAGAGCCTTAGTTAAAAACAACGCCTTCCCCCTTGCTCTGGCCGACATCCAAGATTTCATCCTACATGCCTCTCTATCTATCTCACTCCATTCCTACCCCAAGCCAAGCTCTATGTTTTCACACACATCCTAAAATCTGACATCTTTCCCAGCATCCCCAGTGCAAACCAGGCCTGCATAGCTTCATCTTTCTGCTAGTGACATGTGGAACCACCAAAGCCCACTAATGCTTGGCCATTATGGAGTCCCAACAAGTCCCATTCCCAAAACCTTCCCCACTTTACTGGCTTCTCTCTTAACTCCTTGTGTCACCTCAAGACGAGAATGGGGGCTGTTTTGCTGCTGGATATGAGTGTTTGTGTAACTTTCCAGTTACCTTTGTGTTCTCCTCAAACTGCTACCTGATTTCTCTCTTTTCCAGGCAGATTTGCTTGGGAGCTAAGCACCAGAAGGAAGCATCTACTTTTTCTTCTGGATGTGTATGTTTGACCTGGATGGGTGATGTGATTGTGAATTTATAATGCGGATGAATGGAAATGCCTAAATTGCCTTGGATATGATTAGAGATATTTACATTGCCTCGGATATTGTTTAAAAAATATCAAAATCACTTTAATATGGTCAAAAAGAGCATCCAGTCAGTCAGTCAATGTCTTAACAGGAGAAATTATGATTTGAGCCCTAGGAGACAGTCAATTAAACAATTAAAAAGTTAGCAAAAGCCTATAGCATTAGCTTAGAGACATGAGAAATCTATGGATGATTCTGTAAAATTTGGCAGATGAGAGGATACAGATCTTCCTAGATTTTTATGATTAAAAAAAAGGACATCTAGAAAATAAGGGTTGATACATGATTTTGAAAAGGGTTTGTGAGAAGCCTCAAAAAAGAGCCAACCTGTTAGATTCACTGGTTGGCAGGTCAGCTAACATGCAAATGAGGTCTTAACAGCTTGTCAGCCTGGAAGGTTAGATTAGAAAAGGCTACTCAAAAACTCTAAATAAATCTAGAGAATTGTTAAAGACATATGTTATATTCTAAAGAAATTAAGGCTTAATAGCAATTGGAAAAGATACTTTAAAAATCTTTAAATGAGTTTTTTAGAAATTGTTATAAAATATTCATTGGTTAAGTACTTTTTTGGGGGGAGACCTCTAATGATGATTTAAATCCTTTAAGTAAAATTCTATAAGGAGATAATGATCCAGATAAACCCAAACAGCTAACTAGAAAGGTAGACAAGTTCTATAATTAGCTATGGTTGCGCCTACCCGTCTTACCAGCCTAAATATTTTAAACCCTTATTTTAAAACATTAATGTATATGGTACAGAAATGCCATATAGATTTTAGGAGAAAACTAAGTATGATACATGTCTCCTACTCTAAGCAACAGTTTAATTGATGGTTTCAGAACAATGATTATGGGCGATTGCCTTTGCTCAATTTTCAGGAAGAATTGATAATCAATTTCTAGTTCATGGACTGTTACAATTTGCACTAATGCATCCCTTTGTATTTCCAAAATTGTAAAAAGCAGTCCTATAAAAATATGCTATGTTAATTTTTACCAATGGTTCTATTGGTTTAAATCCTGGTAAATAATTCATTTAATTTGTATACCGACAGTCACTATGTATTTAAGGCTTATAAGGTAACAGAAACAGTTCCATGCACAGGATCTGGTAATAGCCAAGTCAAAATGTTATTTGAGCAAATTCAAAATGTAGAATAGGTCCGAAATATGGCTATGGTTAATTTAAGGATGAATACTTTGGCCAAATGGAATGAATTATCTGATTAACAAAATCAGTTGATTTGCCTTAAATAGAAAAAGCTTGACAGGCTTGTAACTTTCTTCATAATAGCAAAAGTCTAAGTAAGAAATTTGGCTTAACCAGAGAGACTGCTGGTCAAATCATCAAACAATGTGGAATATGTCCACAATATAGCTATAGCTAATTTAAGGATGAATCCTCAAGGCCTGCTCCCCAACCATTTATGGCGAATGGATGTGACTACATTACAGAGTTTGGCAAGTTAAAAATGTGCCACTCCACAAATGGGAGAAGCCACCAGGCATGTTATAAGTCACTGTTTAAAATGTTTTGCTTACATGGGAGTGCCAAAAGTTATAAAAACAGATAATGGGTCTGGATATACTAGCAAAGCTTTCCAGCAATTTTGTGCTTAATTCCTGAGACCCATGCTACAGGAACAGCCCGTGTGGCCTAGTCCCGCCCAGTGGACCTGTCCCGGCGGGCGGCGGGGACGGCTGGGCCTTTGGGGACGCAGCATGCTGCTGACTTGGGGGAGTGAAACGCCTGCCTCCATGCTTCTGTAGACATGAGGCGAGCCCACGGCTCGGGCAGCAGCAGCTCCTGAGCCCGAAGGGACGCACGGGCCAGGCAAGATGGCACACGCCTGTAGTCCCAGCTACTCAGGAGGCTGAGACAGGAGGATCGCTTGAGTCCAGGAGTTCTGGGGTGTAGTGCGCTATGCGGATTGGATGTCCGCACTAAATTCGGCATCAATATGGTGATCTCCAGAGAGCGGACGGCCACCAGGTTGCCTAAGGAGGAGTTCTATACCATGCATTGTCTGTGCTAAATTTCCTCATGTATGATGCTACAGAAAAATCA